AAAGCCAGGAGTAATCCCTGAGCACAAAGTCAGGAGTGTTTGATAGTACAGCGGGGAGGGCGTTTGCCTTGCACGCAGCCAACCATGGTTCTATCCTGGGCATTCCATCTTGTCCCCCAAGCGCAACCAGGATTAATTACTGAGTGCAGAGCCAGGCGTAACCCCTGAGTACCACTGGGTGTGACCCAAAAAGAAAAGAAAAAAAAAAGCCAGGAGTTGTCCCTGAGTACCACCAGAACACAGTACCAGGAAGAAGCACTGAGCGCAGCCAGGAGTAATTCCTGCGCACAGAGCCAGGAGTAAGTCCTGCGTACTTCTGGTTGTGGTCCAACTCCCAAGCCCCTGCCCTCCCTCCCCCCCCACCCACCCAAACCAGGCAAGGGTGGAATTCCGCAAGGGAGCCTGTGAGCGGGGCTTTGTCTTCCTGGGACTCGGCTGGGGACGTTTGTTCTGCCCGAGCGTTCCCACTGTGTCTCTCAGTGGAGTCTCTGTCTCGGGGAACTGCAGCGAGGAAAAATGCCTAATGAGGCGTAGCCGGGGAGGGTTGCGGAGAGCGCGCAGCGGGAGGAAGGTCGGGTTACTCTGGCCTCTGGAGGGACTCGGTTCGCTCTCCTCTCCGTGTGTCCTTGCTCTTGGCCAGGCCCCTTGGCAAAATCGGGGACTGGAGGGTGGCCCCCCCCGGGTTGCACGCAGCGTGCCAGGAGAGAGGGGTGGGCGTGCGTGCCAAAGGACGCGGACAACGGGCTCATTCTGCAGGAGAGGGGCGCGAGGGGGGAGGCCGACAGTGAGGACTGCTCGGAAGGGCTCCCCAGATTCTCTCCAGAGCGGACCGGCGGCGGGGCAGGGGTGCGTCCCCGAGGCTGGACTTCCTCTCCCGCCCGGGCGGACGCCTGCGTGCGCGTTCAGGACCCTGGAGAGCGCGCGCCGCGCCCCCCACGCCGCTCCCTGGAAAGCCGCCCTGCCCTTGGGCTGCTCACCAAAGGCCTCTTCTGGCTCTGCCCAGGGCTGGGGGCTTGTTTGCAGGGGTGGGGCTGCCTAGACGATACTTGGAGCCGAAGCCCTGCCGAGCGCCTCAAAAGTGAGAAGCGGATTTGGGGAGAGACCTTCAAAGGCCAGAGGCCACCCCTTGGCTGGGAAAGGACAGGCCCCCGCCCCAGGTCTAGACCCACAGCGGGAGTCCCCAGCGCTCCGACTCGGGGTGGTGGCCCCCAAACCAGTAAATGAATACAATTTGTTCCAACTTTCTGTTGTTTTGCTTGGGGGTTACAGCCGGAGAGGCACAGGACTTACTCCTGCCTCTTCCCTCAGGGGTTACTCTGGGAGGGTCACAGGCGGTATGCGGCACTGGGGCACCGAGGCTACCCGCTGTGCTGTCTCTCTGCACCCAACCCCAACCTCTTCTATTTATTTATTTATTTATTTATTCATTCATTCATTAGCTTTTTTGGTCAACCCGGCAATGCTCTGGGGTTCCTCCTGGCTCTGCACTCAGGAATTACTCCTGGCGGTGCTGGGAGCAGGGGTGGGGGTCCCTGTGGGATGCTGGGAACGCTTTGGCTCCAGCCCAACTTCTTAAAAGTGGCCGCAAACAGGGGCCGAAGGGATAGTTCAGCAGGAAGGGCTTTTTCCTTCCACAGCCAGCGGGTGGCATCCCATATGGTCCCCCAGGAGCGCTCTCGCCGTGTGAGTGATCCCAGAGTGCAGAACCAGGAGGATTCCCTGAACACCGCGGGTGTGTCCCAAAAACAATCAAATAAACTGAAAGGGGAGGCAGATAGTCAGAGAGTGCAGTGGGTTGAGCTCACGCTTAACATTCCTGAGGTGCTGGTTGATCTCAGCACCACCACGAGGTCCCCTGGACACCACAAACTGCAACCTAGAAAACCGAAAGAACAAAGAAAAAAAGTAAGTGGCATTGTCATCTCGTTCAGCCTCCACAGAAAGCAAGTCAGAGATTTCTCCAAAAAGACTAGAACTCCCACATGGCCCCACAAGACCACTCCCTGTCATATAACCCCTCCCTCAAAAAACACATGAATTCCAAAGGATCTGTGTACACCTATGATCGCTGGGACACTGAGTACAGCAGGCAAGATGCGGACAGCACCCAAATGTCCAGCGCCAGATGAATGGATCAAGAATTTGCAGTCTAGGGGCTGGAGAGGTAGCACAGCGGGTAGGGCGTTTGCCTTGCATCCGGCCGACCCAGGTTCGATTCCCAGCATCCCCTCTGGTCCCCCGAGCACCGCCAGGAGTAATTCCTGAGTGCAGAGCCAGGAGTAATCCCTGTGCATCGCGGGGTGTGACCCAAAAAGAAAAAAGAATTTGCAGTCTATACCCACAGCGGACAAGAGAATGAAATCCTGCCAGTTGCTGCCGCACGCATGGAGCCAGAGGGTCTGCCGCTGTGATGTGATTCGGATCACAGAGCGAAAGAATTCGAGGAAGAGGGAGGGTCCGTGGGCCCACCGGGGTCTCTGTGTGTAGAAGGACGTCTCTCAGTGGGGGTGTTGTTGGAACAACGTGTGCACAAAGGCAGCGCTAACCGTATCATCGAGTTCCTCGATAGAAACGGGAAAAAATAAGGAACTTTCCCCAGGCTGGTGCTCAATAATAATCATCGTTGCTGTTATGGTTTGACTTCCAAGTTAGCCACCAAACCGTCCTCAGAAGCAGGTGGAAGGCGGACAGGCCTGCAGTACTGAGAACTCCATAAAGAACATGTGAGCCTTGAGGGGTCTCAGCCCAGCTGCGGGCACCCACCCCACTGGCTCCCAGCCGTGCCAATCTACTTGGCCCGGGGTCTCCCTCCCACGCACTGCCTGAAGTGCGATGCCTCATGCCTGCCACCACCCAGCTCAGGCCTAGACTCCTGGCCCCAGAGGAACCAGGGGTCCACGTAGAGCTTCTGCGCCTCTGCATTTGGGGAGGTGGGGAAGGGCAGATGAATGAAGGGGGTGAGAGGAAGAAGAGAAGCACTAGACGCAGGAGTGAGTGAGGGAACGTAACACCCCGAGTCTAGAAAGCTTGGAGATGTGAACACAGACACCGCCCTCACATTGAAGGCACAGCTGCCTTCACGCCATGGTGCCAATGTAGTAAAAAGGGCTGGGACTCACGCTGGTGTTTCTACACAGCCCCTGGGTGCCGGAGAAGCTGCTGATGCAAGGGCCGCCCTATGAACGGGATTCACGCGGGCTTCTGTGCACACAGACGCCTGGCTCCCTCACACCCGAGAGTCCTGCTCTGGGGCCCGGGAGACGCTGAAGCAGCTAAGGTTCTTATCTTACCAGCGGTCCCTGGTTCCACCCCGAGCACTGCATATGGTTTCCTGAGTACCACCAGGAGTGACCCAAAGGCACGGAGCCAGGAGTGTTCCATGCACACCAAGTCAGGAGTGACCCAAGGGCACAGAACCAGGAGTGACGCATGGCACCGAGCCAGTCCATGGGCACCGAGTCAGGAGTGACCCATGGCACAAAGCCAGGTGTGATGCATGGCAGGAAGCCAGGAGTGAGTCCTGAACACTGTCAGGAGAGATCCCTGAGCACAACTAGGTGCCCCCTCCCACACACACACCCCCACATCAGAGCGCTGTGACGCGTGACACCGCGCACGTTTCTTGGTTCGCAGCCCAAGCCGAGAATAACGCCAGGGGGGTTTCTGTCTCTCCCTCCCGCACCCCTTGACCAGCCACGGCCTGCAGACTCGCCCGCGACCCCCACGCGGCTCGGCCTCCTCTCCGCCGCCCTCTCCGGCCTGGCGCGACTCGGCGCACGCCTTCTCCACGGATGCCCCGCCTCGAACCCGAACCCGGCCCCGCAGTGGCGCCCCGACGTCGCGCTCCGGCCGCCCGCCCCGCGGCCGCCCCGCCGCCTGCTGCTCCTGCTGGGGGCGACCCTGGCGCTCCCCGGACGACCCCCGGGGACACCCGTGGCCCGGGAAGACGACGACGACGACGACGACGACGCCGCGGGCGCACGCACCGTGAGTAGGGTGGACTCTGTCCCCTCGGGCGGGCCCCCTCCACTCGGCCCCTCGGAATCCCGGGGAGCCCTTGGGTGCGCCTCCGCGGGAAGGTCGGGGTCAGCTGGTCCGCGCCCCCCGGGGCCACGAACCCCGCCCCGGACCCTCCTAACTGCCTCCCCCGCACCCGCGCACATCCACGGCTGGGCCTCAGGGGGCGGGCTGGGCTGGGGGTCGTCGCGACAGTGCAGGAGATCGGGTGAGGGTGGGAGTCTTCGTGGCAGTCCAAGGAACCAGGGTGGGGTGGGGTCGTCGCTACAGCGCTTCTGGAGGCGTCTCTCGGCGCCGCGCCCCTGGAGAACGCGCCCCCTCCGCAGCTCGCACGACCCCGGCCGGTGGGCCTCGCGGGAGGAGACCACGTGCCGGCCTCCCGCGGGGGGTGGGCCCGCGGCTCCGGGCAGGGGGTCCCGCGTGGGGCGCGCTCGGCACTCGGGGACCCCCTGGGAGGCCGAGGACCCTCGGGGCGTGTGTGCGTGTGCGATCTTGTGCGCGCGTGTGTGGGCCCGTGTGTGCGTGTGCGCGCGCGTGTGTGCGGGTGTGCGCGTGTGTGCCGTGTGTGTGTCCGCGCATGTGCGCTCGCGTGCGTGTGTGGCGTGTGTGTGCGCGCGCGTGTGGCATGTGCAAGGGTGTGCGCGGGTGTGTGGCGCGTGTGTGCGTGTGCGCGCGTGTGCGCAGCGGGGCCAGGCCGAGCCCCCGCTCGGCGCGCACCCCGCACCCGCACCCGCAGCCGCACCCCGCGGGCGCGCACCCCGCGCACGTCCGCCCGCCCCTTCATTCACAAAGTCCCAGCACGCAGCCCCGCTCGCCGCCGCCCGCGCCGCGACCCCCCGCCCCGCGCGCGGACCCCGAGACCCCCGCAGACCCCGGGGCGCGCGGAGGCGAGGCCGCGGGCGGGCCGGGAGTGCGGGACGGGCGGAGGCCGGGGGCGGGGCGGGGCGGGGAGCAGGAGGAGGAGGAGGAGGGAGGAGGGAGGAGGGAGGAGGGAGGAGACGGGGCGCCGGCGGCCGAGTGGGGTTCACCCTGGGAACTGCGAGAGCCGGCGGCGCCCGGGACGCATGCGCACCGCCGGGGGAGCCCCGCGGGCCGGAGCTGCGCCCCCCGCGCCGCGCGCCACCGTGAGTACCCGCGCCCCTCGCGCCCCCCGCGCCCCCCGCGCCGCGCGCCACCCTGGGTGCCCCCGCGCCCCGCCCGCGCCCAGAGCGCCCCGCGCCCCCGGACCCGCACCTCCGCGCCCCGCGCAGCCCCCGCCGCGCGCCCCGTGGGTACCCCGCGCCCCCCTGCCGGCCCGCGGCGGTGCCGGCGGCCCCCGAGGCGTGGGAGCGGGCGGGGGGCGCAGCCCGCGTGCCGTCTGGGGGCGTCGGGCCCGCTGTCCCCCGCGGTGGGGGCGCCGGAGCCTGGAGGGTGGGGAGGGCGCGCGCGGGGGCGGCGGGGCCGGGGCGGGCTGCGGCGCGGGGGGCGTCGCGGAGAGCCGGCGGGGCGCAGGGGAGGTCGCGGCGGCCCCCCGGGGCTCGCCCTCCCCGACCGCGGCCGCCCCCGCCCCGGCCCGATCTCCCGTCCACTCCGCGCCCGGCACGGCCCCGGCCCACCCTCGGACTCTGCCCCGCTGGTCTCGGTCCTCCGCGGCGCGCCCTGAGGTCTGGGCGGGGGGTCCCACGGGCTGGGTGCGGAGTCTGGAGGGCTGGGTGGGGGCTCTCGCGGGTTGAGTGGGGGGTCCCAAGGGTTGGGTGTGCGGTCCTAAGGACTGGGTGGGGGTCCCGGACCGGAGCACCCCAGGCTTCCTTCCCGCACGTGGGCTGGAGCCCGTCCACGCTCGCCTTGCTCGCAGCCCCCAGCCCCGCCAGGAGTGACCCGCCCCCAGCGTGGCCCAGACTTAAAGCAACAAAAAAGACATCGGTCTTAAAACGCCTTTTTCTTTTCTTTTTTTGGCTGAAACCCATTTTTCTCCTGGACCTCAGTTTACCTGACCTTCTGTTCACTGTCTCTTCCGCATTGCTTTTTTTTTTTCTTTTTGGGGGCCTGCTCCTGGCTCTGCACTCAGTTTTATTCCAGCCGTGCTCGAGGGACCATGTAGGATGCTGGGAATCGAACCCGGGTTGGCCACATGCAAGGCAAACGCCCTACTGGCTGTGCTATGGCTCCAGCCCCTGTGTTGCTTTTTTTTGAAACACAAGAGACAATGTTCTTCTTACAATAATTTCATCATTTTGTACTATGTATCATTTTACAATAATTAACCTTCTTTCTCCCCCCCTCCCCCCAATCTAATTTTCGATTCAAATCCCACACGAGCTGGGAGACCTTAGGGAAGTTGCTTCACCTCTCCATGCCTTAATTCTCTCGTCTGTAAAATGGGCAGCATTAACCAGTGCATACCTCACAGGGTCGCTTCCAGCATTTATTCAGGTAACACAGGAGACCGGAAAACAAAGATACTCCTATTCACCAGCAGGCGAGAATGTGGCCCAGTACTCCACAGTATTGCTCCTCTGTGAGGTTTTGGGTTGGTTATGGGGCCCACCACCCGGGGACCACCCAGGAACCCCCACCCTCAGCGAGCATCTCGCCCTGAGGGATGTCCCCACACCCAACAGCTATGAGTCCAGGACACATACAGTTTTATTCTGACTTTTTGTTTTTTTATTTGGGGGCCCCTTCCCACAGTGCCCAGAGACTCTGCCAGCTTGACATTGGGGGTGCGCTGAGGTCTGGGGGTATGGCGGGTGCCCTGGATTCACTCCAGCCCTTGGAGGGTCCCTGAGTCCCGAAAGGTCGCCCCAAGACGTATCTAATAATCAGTGTCATGCGTCGCTGCCTCCTGTGGATTCTCACTACGGATAAGCCTCAAATCGCACTTTAACGATCATCCCTAACCTTCAAAATATTTCAGAGCGTGCGTATGCCTGGGAGAGGTGGTTATAGAGAAATTTCACTGTCTGCATGAAACTATTTCAGCGTCCATTTTAAGAGAATCCCACCTTGTGAGATAGGGATGCCCGCTTTCCTGAGATGGTTGGAAAATCCTAGCCAAAATACCCTCGTCACCAGGAATAGAGAAGAAGCGAGTCGGGGTCCTGGTGGCGCCGTCTTCCTTCCGGCCCCTCTCACTCAGCTCCGGGGTTGCGTGGGTTCTGACGGACTCTGCACCCCCTTTGCACATCATGCTGGTGCTTCCTCATCACGGATCCCGATGTTTGGACAGAGACCAGGGCATATTCTGCCAGGGAATGTAGATGTGTGTGACCAGGGAGGCTGATGGGCTTGGGACGGCCGTCGTACCCAGCCTCATCGTTTTTTTTTTTTTCTCTTTTCTTTTTGGGTCACACTCGGCGATGCTCAGGGGTTCCTCCTGGCTCTGCACTCAGGAATCACTCCTGGCAGTGCTCCGGGGAACAAATGGGATGCCGGGGATTGAACCTGGGTCCACCGGGTGCCAGGCAAATGCCCTACCCGCTGTGCTATCACTCCACCCACCCACGCACCCCCCAGCCTCATCTTGACCTGGCAGAAGGCATGAGCACATGACTCATCTAAAGGTGAGGGGAGGTTGAGACCCAGTGAAGGGACAGACCACGTTCAAAGTCAGGCCCTTCCCCGCCCAGAGGGGCCGCACATACTCCTGCCAGCGCACCCAGACTCTCCGAGACAGACACTGCCTCCCCATGGCATCCAAAAGACAGAAACCAGTAAAGCAGTCGTCCTCCCACACAGGGGCTTCGGAGATGGATGTGAACCAGGACCGGGAATGAGAGGAGGGCTCGAAACACTTGGTCATCAAAAGATACACACACACTGTCACACTGTCCTCCCGTTGTTCATCGATTTGCTCGAGCGGGCCCAGTAACGTCTCCATTGGAGACTTTGTTGTTACTGTGTTTGGCATATCGAATACGCCACGGGGAGCTTGCCAGGCTCTGCCGTGCGGGCGAGATACTCTCGGTAGCTTGCCGGGCTCTCCGAGAGGGGCGGAGGAATCGAACCCGGCTCGGCCGGACTGGCTGTGTGCAAGGCAAATGCCCTACTGATCAAAAAAATACACGGAAAGGAAATTTCTGAGTCCAAACTTATGTCTGGAGACAAGGAGAGGAGGGGAGAGTCGGAGGGAGGGGTGGGAAGAGAGGGGGCCTCGGATGACCAAAGTCCACTGCACGGGGGAGCTGGTGCGCAGAGCTGAGCTTCCCTGGGGTGGGCGCCCTGAGAAGCCCCTGGTCTCTGGTGGAGGCAGCGGGTGCCGGTGGTGGATGAATTTCCAGCCGGGAGGAGGGTCTGCCCGTGGGCCGCCCGCGTGGAGCTGGGCCTTTGCTCACCTGGAACTGTGCTTGTGGCCTGATGCAGGGTGGAGGGGAGGCCGCCGCCCCCGCTGCGAGAAGACCCCCCAGTGTTCAGCCAGCAAACTAGGGCGCCCGGGATGAACTTTTTTCACATTCCTAAAATCCCTTCCCTGCAGGCTGTTTGGTTTGGTTCAGTTTGGCGCAGAGGCCACAGCCCACAGTGCTCGGGGATGACTCCTGGCTCTGTGCTCAAGGGGGAGTCAGCCCTGGCGGTGCTTGGGGGACCCTCTGGGGTGTGCCTGACCCACCACCTGCCTCTCTGGGATGCAGCTTGGTTGGTGACTCTCACGCGGCTCTTCCCTGCGCCTTGTTTCTGCCCTGGTGGCTGAACAGAGCTTTCTAGACCCCCTGCGCCGGGGGTCCCCTGGCACAGAAAGTTGCGGCCGTCAGGTGAGAAGCTGCTCTGCAGAGACTTCCTCGGGGCCCGGCCCTGTGGGTCGCTCATGGGAAGAATCGTGTTTGCATGCGCTAGAAAGTTCTCTACCATGCTCAAGCCAGACTCACATCTCTGGGAACTGTGTTCTTACAAGAGCAGGGCACACTCCCAGCCGGGCGGGCAGCCCGAGTGTGCAAATCAGGTGTCCGGTCAGGTTCCCACATTCCCCCGAGAACCACAGGCTGGTGGGAACGGCTTCTCAGAGCACGGTGACTCATGCCGAGAGCCTCATTCAGAAGCACCCAGTGTCACCGAGGGCCGCTCGGGTGCACTGAGTCAGAGACGAGCCTGGAGTGCGGTAAGCGTGAGTCACCGAGCGCGTCCTGGGTGTTACCTGGAGCGGCGCTTGGCTGAGTCAGTTCCCAGCACAGCTGAATGGGCGCTCGCCGTGGCCGTTCATGAGAAGGCTGAACGTGCCTGACGAGGGCTGGAGCTAATCCCGCGTGATCGGGAGTTCGTGGAACAGATCGCTTCTGCTCTGATCTAGCTGATTATTTTCTAGCCAGATGAATGGGGGAATCTTTGGGTTTAAAACATGAGTAATAGGCTGTTGTTGCCCAGCAGGGAGGTTTAACTCAGACTTTCCCAGTGACGGAGCCGGAGAGATAGTACAACAGGAGCGGTGCTTGGCGGGCACACGGCTGACCCGAGTTCAGCCCCCCAGCCCACCCCACCAGAAGTGCTGCCTGAGCACAGGGCCCCCAGCCAGCCCCGAGCACAGCCGGGGAGGTCCAGGAAGGATGTCCAGTGTCTGTTCAGGCTGGTAGACCTTTCTGAGGAACGCAGACTTGATCCTCATGACGCATTCTTTGCCTTTTTTTTGGTTTGTTTTTGGATCACACCTGGCAATGCACAGGGTTCCTCCTGGCCCTGCATTCAGGAGTGACTCCTGGCGGTGCTCAGGGGACCCTATGGGATGCTGGGAATCGAACCTGGGTCGGCCACGTGCAAGGCCAACGCCCTCCCCGATGTATTGTCGCTCCAGCCCTCGTGACGCATTCCTTGGACCCCCCACTCTGAACTCTCTCCGAGGGCACGTCGGGTTAGGGTTTTAGACAGGCTCCCTGTGAGCGCTGGGGTTTGTATATTCTGTTCTTCCACGGGGCACTGCAGCCAGAGAAAGCTGTCACGGTCGCACTTTTCTCCCCAGCTAAAGTGAGGAGGATTTGTGCCAAAGAGCCAGCCTGGGCGTACGAGGCTGTCTCACGGCTCACGCCGCCCTTCCCGGGCTCTCTAGCGGCAATGCTTCTGCAGGGGCCAGTGGGAAGCGATGTTCCGCCCTTCTCCTCACCGGGCGAGTGACTTTCCCACTCAGGGAAGGATGAAGTTTAAAGGACCGTTTGTTTTCTCA